TTCGTAAAATTATGTTGCTTGGAAAAAAAAATAAATACCGATATTCGTCTGGACTGATTTATGGAGAGTTCGCTGACAAGCACAAGTGGGTTTGCACAGGAGGGCAAAACAATTGCCATCAGACCTCACAAAGGCGTTGGGTCCTTTGAGATACTTCCAGTCAGATCATATTTAGGGTTGTGGTGGGGAAAATAGAAGGAGGAAGGTGTTTCAAATAGAACAGAGGTCTTCAAACTTGGCAGCTTTAAGACTTCTGGACTTCAACTCCCTTGAAGTCCACAAGTCTTAAAAGTTGCCAAGTTTGGGGACCCTTGAAATAGAATAACAGAGTTGGAAGGGATCTTGGAGATCTTCTAGTCCAACCCCCTGCTTAGGCAGGAAATCCTACACCACTTCAGACAAATGGTTAGCCAACATCTTCTTAAAAACTTCCAGTGTTGGAGCATTCACAACTTCTGGAGGCAAGTCGTTCCACTGGTTAATTGTTCTCACTGTCAGGAAATTTCTCCTTAGTTCTAAATTGCTTCTCTCCTTGATTAGTTTCCACCCATTGCTTCTTGTCCTGCCCTCGGGTGTTTTGGAGAATAGCTTGACTCCTTCTTCTTTGTGGCAGCCCCTGAGATATTGGAAGACTGCTATCTTGTCTCCCCTAGTCCTTCTCTTCATTAAACTAGACATACCCAGTTCCTGCAACCGTTCTTCATATGTTTTAGCCTCCGGTCCCCTAATCCTCTTTCTTGCTCTTCTCTGCGCTCTTTCTAGAGTCTCCAACTTCTTTTTTTACATCGTGGTAACCAAAACTGAATGCAGGATTCTAAGTGTGGCCTTACCAAGGCATTATAATATTAACACTTCACCTGATCTTGATTCTATCCCTCTGTTTATGCAGCCCGGAACTGTGTTGGCTTTTTTGGCAGCTGCTGCACACAGCTGGCTCCTATTTAAATGGTTACAGTTAATAAATGCTTACAGTTATTAGGACCTTGATTTCTTAATTGCAGAATTGTTAAATTGGTATCAAATATAATTATCTATCTATCTATCTATCTATCTATCTATCTATCTATCTATCTATCCATCCATCCATCCATCCATCCATCCATCGATTTGCCTGCCTGCCTGCCTACCTACCTATCTACAGTATCTATCTATCTATCTATCTATCTATCTATCTATCTATCTATCTATTCTATCTCTATCTATCATCTACAACTATCTCTATCTATCATCTACTATCTATTATCTATCTATCTATCTATCTATCTATCTATCTATCTATCTATCTATTTACCTACCTACCTACCGTATCTATCTACTTACCTACCTACAGTATTTATCTATCTACCTTTCTACTCTATCTATCTATCTATCTATCTATCTATCTATCTATCATCTACAACTATCTACCTATCTACCTATCTACCTACCGTATCTATCTACTTACCTACCTACAGTATCTATCTACTCTATCTACTCTATCTATCTATCTATCTATCTATCTATCTATCATCTACAACTATATCTATCTATCATCTATCATCTATCTACCATTTCTACCTACCTACCTACATCTATCTTTCTATCTTATTTATCGTATGTTTGTATCTATTTATTTGTCTAGAAATAAAAAACATAAATAATAATAATTAAAAAAATTAAAAGGAAGCTGGCATTGGGAGGTATATATATATATGTTTTCTCAGGTTTTCATGGGTGTTTGTATGTAGGTCTTTGGTTATTCGGATCTTCTCCCGCGTAAAATTGGAAGTGTCTTGGCGACGTTTCGACGAAGTCTCATTCGTCATCTCCAGGCTGGTGTTCTCAGCTTCGTGCTTCCAGGAGCAATGTTCCTGTAATTTGCTCCTGGAAGCACGAAGCCGAGAACACCAGCCTGAAGATGACGAATGAGACTTCGTCGAAACGTCGCCAAGACACTTCCAATTTTACGCGGGAGAAGACCCAAATAACCAAAGATCAATTTTTCCTTGCAAAAGAACACATTCCAAATATTTCCACGCAGTTCCGAGCAACTCATATAAGCGGCCTTTTAAATCTCAAAGCATCCTGGGGAATCCTTTCCCATACATCGGGCCAGCCTTCGCATAACTCTTTTTTCGACCAACGTGGCAAAAAAATTGTGGCTACCGTATCTGTTTGCATGTTTCCAGATTTGTTTAGTCTGCTTTAGAGAGGCGTATTTGCAAAAATTTCTCGCATCCCATATCATGCTTCTGAAGGAGACAAAAATCAGGAACTCGGAGCATGCTATGTTTTGGTTTGCAGAAACAGGATACGGCACGGCTACGCAATTTAAACAGCAATTTGGACGACAGGGGTAATTTATATGACG